TTTTGCTCTGACACACACTGTCAACGGTGGGACCTTATATAGGCATGTGTGTGCCTTTCCAAATCCTGTCCAATCAATCGAATTTACCACAGGTGGACTCCAATCAAGTTGTAGAAACATCTCAAGGATGATCAGGGGAAACAGGATGCACCTCAGCTCAATTTTGAGTGTCATAGCAAAGGGTCTGAATACTTATGTAAATAAGGTATTTCTGTTTTTTTATTTTTAATACCTTTGCAAAAATTTCTAAAAACCTGTTTTCGCTTTGTCATTATGGGGTATTGTGTGTAGATTGATGAGAAGAAAAATTATAATTTAATCAATTTTAGAATAAGGCTGTAACGTAACAAAATGTGGAAAAAGTCAAGGGGTCTGAATACTTTCCGAATGCACTGTATATTTTCATTAAATACCATGTTTCACATTGGCACCTCCGAAACAATAATGTGTAATGCTTATACTGTATGTATCAATATGATCTCTCACTTTGTTGTTTTTTTACCCGCTTTTTCTCCCCAATTTCGATCTTGTCTCATCGCTGCAACTCCCCAACGGGCTCGGGAGGCGAAGGTCGAGTCATGCGTCCCCCGAAACGTGACCCGCCAAACTGCACTTCTTAACACCCGTCTGCTTAACCCGGAAGCTAGCCGCACCAATGTGTCGGAGGAAACTGTTGATCGAGGTCAGCCTGCAGGTGCCCGGCCCGCCACAAGGAGCCGCTAGAGCGCGATGAGCCAAGTAAAGCCCCCCCCCCCGGCCAAACCCTCCCTTAACCCGGACGATGCTGGGGCAATTGTGTGCCGCCCTATGAGACTCCCGATCACGGCCGGTTGTGATGCAGCCCGGGATCGAACCCGGGTCTGTAGTGATGCCTCTAGCACTGCGCCACTCAGGAGGCCAGGATATTGGACATTCTTGATCAAATCAATGCTGCTGTGCTGGTGAACAGCTTGGAACAGGTGCACCTTGTGCTGGGGACAATAAAAGGCCACTCCAGAATCTGCAGTTTTGTCACACAACACAATGCCACAGATGTCTCAAGTTTTGAGGGAGCGTACAATTGGCATGCTGACTGCAGGAATGTCCACCAGAGCTGTTGCCAGAGAATGTAATGTTAATTTCTCTACCATAAGCCACCTCCAACGTCGTTTTAGAAAATTTGGCAGTACGTCCAAACGGCCTCACAACCACAGACCACGTGTAACCACGCCAGCCCAGGACCTCCACATCCGGCTTCTTCACCTGCGGGATCGTCTGAGACCAGCCACCTGGACAGCTGATGAAACTGTGGAGTATTTTTGTTCAATATATATAACATTTTCCCTCACATCTAAAGCTGCCTGATTCAGATAGCTGCAATGGCAACGAGCTCGTCTGAAATGTAGACTTACCGGTGAACAACAGCGTGCACTTCGTCCACTGCCTGTCCTATCAACTGTTTGCTGAACACTGTTGTTTGAAGAACTCACTTATCTCAAGGCTTAAAAATCCTTCTTTAACCCGTCTCCTCCCCTTCATCTACACTGATTTGAAGTGGATTCAACAAATGACATCAATAAGGGATCATAGCTTTCACCTGGATTCACCTGATCAGTCTATGTCATGGAAAGATGTATGCACTCACTAACTGTAAGTCGCTCTGGATAAGAGTGTGTGCTAAATGACTAAAATGTAAAATGTAAAATGAAAGAGCAGGTGTTCCTAATGTTTTGTACACTCAGGGTATCTACTGCCTCTTATTAACTTAGTGGTTGAACAAAGCACATTAACCTGCTAAATGAAATGGGTTTGTTTTGGTTTCATATACTGTGGCTGTATTAATTAAATTAATATTATTATACAGTATATTTAAACTTTTGCCATAGCCAGTTGGCAAGCATGTTAAAACGTCCCCTTTGCCAGTCACCCATTGGCTTAAACTACGGGATGGAATGGACACTGCTAAGATTCAAAATTGTTGTGTTGAAAACATCCGCACTCACTTCCATGTTTACTGCTTCGCACGTGTATCCACACGGATCATACACACGGGAGAAATTCGCTGAAGGGAGGGATCTGGCCGAGAGTTTCCTTTTGCAAGGGAGGACACTTTGCTTCCTTCACAAAACGGAAATCCCAATTATTAATGTCAGTCCCCCCCAGAAGTTAAACGGGAAGTGACAACTTTCGCGAGAATTTTACTTCTGGTTAACCGAGATCAGTGAAATACTAACCATATCACCACTGGCTGCCCTAAAATGATGGAAATACAAATACAGATTTACAGTGGGGGAAAAAAGTATTTAGTCAGCCACCAATTGTGCAAGTTCTCCCACTTAAAAAGATGAGAGAGGCCTGTAATTTTCATCATAAGTACACGTCAACTATGACAGACAAATTGAGGAAAAAAAATCCAGAAAATCACATTGTAGGATTTTTAATGAATTTATTAGCAAATTATGGTGGAAAATAAGTATTTGGTCACCTACAAACAAGCAAGATTCCTGGCTCTCACAGACCTGTAACTTCTTCTTTAAGAGGCTCCTCTGTCCTCCACTCGTTACCTGTATTAATGGCACCTGTTTGAACTTGTTATCAGTATAAAAGACACCTGTCCACAACCTCAAACAGTCACACTCCAAACTCCACTATGGCCAAGACCAAAGAGCTGTCAAAGGACACCAGAAACAAAATTGTAGACCTGCACCAGGCTGGGAAGACTGAATCTGCAATAGGTAAGCAGCTTGGTTTGAAGAAATCAACTGTGGGAGCAATTATTAGGAAATGGAATACATACAAGACCACTGATAATCTCCCTCGATCTGGGGCTCCACGCAAGATCTCACCCCGTGGGGTCAAAATGATCACAAGAACGGTGAGCAAAAATCCCAGAACCACACGGGGGGACCTAGTGAATGACCTGCAGAGAGCTGGGACCAAAGTAACAAAGCCTACCATCAGTAACACACTACGCCGCCAGGGACTCAAATCCTGAGTGTCCCCCTGCTTAAGCCAGTACATGTCCAGGCCCGTCTGAAGTTTGCTAGAGTGCATTTGGATGATCCAGAAGAGGATTGGGAGAATGTCATATGGTCAGATGAAACCAAACTAGAACTTTTTGGTAAAAACTCAACTCGTCGTGTTTGGAGGACAAAGAATACTGAGTTGCATCCAAAGAACACCATACCTACTGTGAAGCATGGGGGTAGAAACATCATGCTTTGGGGCTGTTTTTCTGCAAAGGGACCAGGACGACTGATCCGTGTAAAGGAAAGAATGAATGGGGCCATGTATCGTGAGATTTTGAGTGAAAACCTCCTTCCATCAGCAAGGGCATTGAAGATGAAACGTGGCTGGGTCTTTCAGCATGACAATGATCCCAAACACACCGCCCGGGCAACGAAGGAGTGGCTTCGTAAGAAGCATTTCAAGGTCCTGGAGTGGCCTAGCCAGTCTCCAGATCTCAACCCCATAGAAAATCTTTGGAGGGAGTTGAAAGTTTGTGTTGCCCAGCGACAGCCCCAAAACATCACTGCTCTAGAGGAGATCTGCATGGAGGAATGGGCCAAAATACCAGCAACAGCGTGTGAAAACCTTGTGAAGACTTACTTAAAACGTTTGACCTGTGTCATTGCCAACAAAGGGTATATAACAAAGTATTGAGAAACTTTTGTTATTGACCAAATACTTATTTTCCACCATAATTTGCAAATAAATTCATAAAAAATCCTACAATGTGATTTTCTGGAAATGTTTTCCTCATTTTGTCTGTCATAGTTGACGTGTACCTATGATGAAAATTACAGGCCTCTCTCATCTTTTTAAGTGGGAGAACATGCACAATTGGTGGCTGACTAAATACTTTTTTTCCCCACTGTATATCTGGCTTAAATGATCCTGAACATATCTAATATACGCTATGTTTGCTGCCTATTGGCCCCATTGGTCAATGCCCATATTCTGAATTGGGTTTGTGTGTTGTCAACAGTAGCAGATTCAAACAGTAGCGGGTTAGGTTGGCCTAATGAGGTGTGGTGTTGAAAATGAACACACTACAGTTTACAGTGTCCATATCAAAGGGTGTCCACAAGGTCACCTATGAATTTATGTAGGAGAAGCGTAATCTCAATTGTCAGAATGTTAAATGACTATTTTAGATTCAAATATGAAAATAAACCAAATATTTTCAGTGATTTGATGTAGGCCTATGGATTTGTAATGGATTACAAATGCAGTTCACCAGTTGATACCATTGTATGGTGATAACGATATTAACCTATCCATCAAAATGTAGCCTGCCACCGGTCTGGCGATGCAGGGTAGGTAGCCATTTTGTGCCAACAAATAGACGCTCTGAATCCGGCAGATGGCCGCAGCACCAACCATGATGCAGTCAACAGCTGAGACCTGGCAATGGTTTGAGCCACAAACAAGGAACAATCACGGGTGTCTGTGTCCACGTCAATAGTAGCCTAGTAGCCGAGAAACAGAAGTGAAACCTGCATTATAATGAATGGTCTGCTCACCACATGCCAATGAATGTGAGTTGGATTTGCAATCCACTTCCAATTAGGCTAGCCATCTCATCAGTGCCGCCAACCTTTTCTGTATATGCTGTGCCTCTGATATTTCATGGAAATATCCTACTACTGGATAGCTTGGTGGAACCAGCCTGATCACGTTTAACTTCTAAACATAATAGTGAACGCAGCTATCAGGCTGGTTCCACCAGGCTAACTACTAGACACTGGTTGCCTATTTTGCATAGTTTGTAGCTGTTAGCTATTTGCTTTAGCTGTTTGCTAATAGCTGGTTGATTTTTTTCATCTAGCCTTTTATATTTCACTTAAAATGTTCACAAATAGTGAGACACTTGTTTAACTGCATGAGGGAACTGAATTATTTTAGTCAATGAATAAGAATGACTTGCCCAGGTTGCCAATTTTCTCTCTAACAAAGCACAGAGCAGCTGTCTAGCTGGTGTATTGTAGAATACAGCTGTCTAGCTGGTGTATTGTAGAATGCAGCTGTGAGTTGTGAGAAGAGGAGCCTTGTGTCTCTTGCCTCTGGCTTGTATGAAGCCACTGTCTGTCATTGGACTCAAACTGGTCTCTGTATAGAAAACCATAAATGCATATTGTAGAACAAGTCAAAATTAACCTATACATAGTAGTTGCCATGGCTACCCCATAACACCTGCTACCCATAGCAGAGAACTGTAGGCCTTTTCTAGTGTCATTGACTCAACCAAAGGAGAGTACTTATGATGAGTTGCTATTGAACAGAGAGCAATGCAGGGATGGGCATTGTCCATTTTTGGACTGTTCAAGTACTCACATGGTGTTTTTTTTCGAGTACTCTGAATGGAAGAAAATATTCATGTTTAGAACACAAGGGCAAGGCCCACACTGGAATGGAAAAAAAAGATGTGCTAATTGATCTATACTGAACAAAAATATAAACGTAACATGCAACAATTTCAAAGATTTTACTGAGTTACAGTTCATATGAGGAAATCAGTCAACTGAAATCAATTAATTAGGCCCTTATCTATGGATTTCACATGACTGGGAATACAGATATGTATCTGCTGGTCACAGATATATATACATTTTTTAAAAGGGCCTCAAAATGGGCCTCAGGATCTCGTCATGGTATTTTTGTGCTTTAAATTGCCATCGATAAGATGCAATTGTGTCCGTAGTTTATGCCTGCCCATACCATAACCCCACCGCCACCATGGGGCACTCTGTTCACAACGTTGACATCAGCAAACCGCTCACCCACACAACGCTATACACATGGTCTGCGGTTGTGAGGCCTGTTGGATGTACTGCCAAATTCTCTAAAATGACGTTGGAGGCGGCTTATGGTAGAGAAATGAACATTCAATTCTCTGGCAACAGCTTGGGGGAACATTCCTGCAATTGCATGCTCACTCAAAACCTGAGAACTCTGTGGCATTGTGTTGTGTGACAAAACTGCACATTGTAGTAGCCTTTTATTGTCCCCAGCACAAGGTGCACCTGTGTAATGATCATGCTGTTTAACCAGCTTCTTGGTATGCCACACCTGTCAGGTGGATGGATTATCTTGGCAAAGGAGAAATGCTCACTAACAGGGATGTAAACACATTTGTGCACAACATTTAAGAGAAATGAGCTTTTTGTGCGTATGGAAAATTTCGGGGATGTTGTATTTCAGCTCATGAAACATGGGACCAACACTTTACATGTTGCGTTTATATTTTTGTTCAGTGTATATGCCAACAGTGCACAACAATGCCAAATGTATCATTAACCATTACAGATAACAAATCCTAATTGCTAAATTGCCTCCTATAGATTCAGTCAATAAAAAAACAATTGCCATTTAAGAATAATTTATTGAAACTGTAATATCAACTGGTTATATTATATCGTGGAACACAATATTCAAAAAGGCTGTAGCCTCAGCAGTGGCGCTTGCTTATAGAAGCCTATGGCTGTGCAATGGCAAAGCCTTGTTAATTTAACAGGCAAGACACTCTTATTTCCCTTATCACAGTCAAGACACCTATTTGTAGCCAAAACAAATGATGTACTATCAGGGGCGCAACTTTGGTTTTAGAAGTAGGGTGGGGGACACAACTTTTTATGTATTTATTTTATCCAGTCATATAAACACTCCAAGCAACCTACCCAACCGCTCGGGGGTGTCCGCATGGTCCTAAAGCACACCCGCCTTGTTTTATAACACATGATAACCAATGATAAAACTGCGGGGGGGACAAAAATGCAATGTCAGAATGTGGGGTGGGGGGGCACAGTTGTACTATAACAGAATAAAATAAAACAGAATATTTTTCTAAATAAAAAAAGTTGCCATGTGAAGTGATGCGCGTCTGGATCAGTTATTCTCAAAGAGTGATCATTTGAAACGGGGCTTAGTTTGGCGCGTAAAGAAATAAAAAATAAATGATTACAAAACAAAATCGGTCTTCTTTTCAATACAGACCTACAGGCATTCGATTTAGTTTATTCTGCCTGTTCTTTGGAATTTGCTAAACGGATGAACAATTCCGACATTGAACGCTGCATGGTGATGAATTACGACATCTGTTTGATGAGTAGTTCAAGACTTAATGATTCTAATGAAAATATGTTCTTTGTCTTTATTAAACTAATGTTATAGCCTAGGCAAAAAAAAACGCAATTATGCCAAAACTGCTGGTCGTTGTTGGAACACATATTTCCCTACTTCAATCAACCAGTCCATTTTGAATTTGTGATAAAACTGTTGTCATTTGGCAAGGAATGTATCTTGTGTATCCCATCAGTTAGAGGCATTTTTTATGCCCGCCGTCCCACTGTTTTTATAAGCATTTATTTCTTTAGGCCTAATCGGAGTTTGTGTGCAAACTCAGCACGCATGTGTAGAGGGAGCGTTCAGAATGCAATTGAGTGAGTGAGACACTGAGGGGAAAGAGAATTTAGGGAGAAGAACTGTGTGACGCTTGCCTTGGTTTTTTTGTTGTTGTGCCCCTCAAATTCACATGTAGGCCTATGGAACACTAGAGTCAAAGCAAGTTAACCTTGTCTTCAAGACAACATGACATTTTCTTTTCTCGGGGACACACACACCACAAAGCACATTCCACCAAATAGTTTTACAGTATTATTATTATTAATATATTTTTTTAAATCTCTGGTTAAAGATTGAGTTTTGACGTCCGTTCGAGTACTGGAGTACTCATGCCCATCCATAGAGCAATGATACAAGACAAGAGTGATATCTGAATGAGAGTGGCTGACTGGTTGGTTGACTAGTGGTTGACTAGTGGTTGACTAGTGGTTGACTAGTGGTTGACTAGTGGTTGCCTGGAGTAGCATCTAACACAACCCGGCATCCAGTAGCCCCCTCGTTTCAGGATTCAGACGGACACGCACACACGCAGTGTGCAGCAGCTTGTGTGTGGCATGGTGTTGACCACCAGGCCGTCACTGCCATGGATCATACCGCTATCTCCCGCTAAAGGAAGTCCAAATGTTCATCTGCACAGTGAAACCTGTAGCCGTGCACAGTTGATAAAATCATATTGTGTTGTATTTCATCCTTCCTTGAGGTCTGTTTATCACATTCAAACGGCAGTCACGTGAGTGTTTGACGGATGGATGTCCGTAGTGGTTTGTTGTAATTCCCTTTTTACAAGATATTTAGTCCACACATCTAACAATGAACCACTACTGGACATGTACCTCCAGAGTTGTCTTAAGGAAATACTCTCTGACTGAAGTGTATGTATTCAGTGCTTGGGCTGCATTTTAATTTATGTTCAAGCCTTCTCGACTGAATCCAATTGGGTGTAATTCCATTTGCCCTAACCTTGGTGTGTTGCAATGTGTAAGAGTCTGTAATTTGAATAATATTCATCAATGTGAAAGAGTCTTTGTGATTTGAATAATATTCATATTATTTCTCCTTTGTGTGCAGGGACATGCTGATCACGGACCTGGCTGCCACGGTAACCTACATGGGACTGTGTGAGGAGGTGAGGGTGATGTGCAGCCTGGCCCGGCAGCAGCCAATCACACTCAAGTGGATCGACGATGAGGGTAGGTGGGGAAGAAAACTCAGTTGTAATCAGGGTAGACAAGGTCATAAGCTAGCTAGCTACGACCTGCTTATCTCGACTATGTGTGTGAAATAAGTTAATCATCTGTTTGTGTGTGTCACCATGCGTGTGTCCCATAGGAGACCCATGTACCATCTCTTCTCAGATGGAACTGGAGGAGGCCTTCCGGATCTACAGCCGCAACAGGAACTCTGGACTCCTGCTGCACGGTCAGTCAGACCTCTGTCTGTCTGCACTCACCCCCCCCCCCCCTCTCTCTCTACCTCGTCTTCTCTTCTCTCTTTTCAGATCCTCCTCTCCTCCTCTCCAATCATTCTACCATTATCTCATTATCTTTTTTAATTGAATGGATTGGGATACATACCTGTTCATATGAGTAACCGTTAGTCCGTCTATATCCGGAGGTTTTGATTGGGCATGTCTCTGGATATTCATAGTTGTCTTTCACTCTTTTCTTGCAGTCTTCCCCAGTATACCAATGAAGCCTGGTATGCCATGTCCAGGTGAAGACAGTGAGTACTAGTGCTACACATGGATTACACCTGGTTTCCCAGGAGGTGCTAACACCACTAACCATTCGCAAAATGTAAACAAAACTGGAGGCACCTCCCCGTTATTTTTGGAGGCATGAAGCTGTGTTCTGTAGCTAGTAAATGAGAAGAGTCACTCTAGCTAGCTAACTGAATGTAAATACATTTAATAGTTGACTGTGGGATTATACAACTCATTTGTTTACGTTTAGTTAGCTACCACTAGCTAGCTACCACAACATGACATGCCCTCGTGGAGTATTTATCTAGGAGAGTATAGTGTAGGAATGGTAACTTACTAACTGTAACTAACCTAGTAGTTAACTGTAGGATGAAACATTACACTTATTTACAAGTTAAAATAAGTACCATTCCTTCAGTCTTTGCTACTGTAACACGGCATGCTTCTCTACCTTTTGTGGTGTTCAGTGTTCATGCTTGGACTAACCGGCAGTTCAGGTTCCTCATCCTGTTCTCTGAAGGAGAAACCAAGGCAGCCTGTGCACGATGTTATCGACAACACCGCTTGTCAGGCTGTAACAGCAAATTAGACCACCTAGAAGGAACAGAGTCACATTAGACCTCGTCTCAGATAGCCTTTATCTCCAAACAAACAGAGGTTAACCTCTTTCATCAGCCTGTGCATACTCAATATCGGTCCTTGAGGGTCTGAATGTGGAGTATGCAAATACTGTCAATTGATCTGTTCATTGACTGCAGACGTTAGAAAGACAACTGGCCACCTTTTACATCTGTTAATTTCCTCAGGGGCTTAGGTTAGCAACTATGTCACTTGGTCACTATACTGAATCTATGATACGCTCGCTAAATCACAGTAAAACCAATGAGCATGACATCAAGACCAAGCTAGGTGCACAAAAATATTTAGTTACTCTTAGAGGACATGGAAGTTGTTTTAAAAGTTGCTTCTATATTAGTAAAATATAAGTATTGTAATGATAAATAAATAATATTTTATTAAACCTTTTTTTTAAATAAAAAACAAAACAACATATGATATAGATATGTTCCTCGTGTGCTTGCTCACAGCAATGGACCTGCTGAACGTTACCTGGACGTTACTTGAACGTTTACTGAAGCAGCCCAGTATTGTTAAGCACATCTTAGTTCTGGAGTGTTCCCTCCTATAAGGTGTCGGGGGTTTACCATCTTAGTTCTGGAGCGTTCCCTCCTATAAGGTGTCGGGGGTTTACCATCTTAGTTCTGGAGCGTTCCCTCCTATAAGGTGTCAGGGGGTTTACCATCTTAGTTCTGGAGCGTTCCCTCCTATAGGGTGTCGGGGGTTTACCATCTTAGTTCTGGAGCGTTCCCTCCTATAAGGTGTCGGGGGTTTACCATCTTAGTTCTGGAGCGTTCCCTCCTATAAGGTGTCGGGGGTTTACCATCTTAGTTCTGGAGCGTTCCCTCCTATAAGGTGTCGGGGGTTTACCATCTTAGTTCTGGAGCGTTCCCTCCTATAAGGTGTCGGGGGTTTACCATCTTAGTTCTGGAGCGTTCCCTCCTATAAGGTGTCGGGGGTTTACCATCTTAGTTCTGGAGCGTTCCCTCCTATAAGGTGTCGGGGGTTTACCATCTTAGTTCTGGAGCGTTCCCTCCTATAAGGTGTCGGGGGTTTACCATCTTAGTTCTGGAGCGTTCCCTCCTATAAGGTGTCGGGGGTTTACCATCTTAGTTCTGGAGCGTTCCCTCCTATAAGGTGTCGGGGGTTTACCATCTTAGTTCTGGAGCGTTCCCTCCTATAAGGTGTCAGGGGGTTTACCATCTTAGTTCTGGAGCGTTCCCTCCTATAAGGTGTCGGGGGTTTACCATCTTAGTTCTGGAGCGTTCCCTCCTATAAGGTGTCAGGGGGTTTACCATCTTAGTTCTGGAGCGTTCCCTCCTATAAGGTGTCGGGGGTTTACCATCTTAGTTCTGGAGCGTTCCCTCCTATAAGGTGTCGGGGGTTTACCATCTTAGTTCTGGAGCGTTCCCTCCTATAAGGTGTCGGGGGTTTACCATCTTAGTTCTGGAGCGTTCCCTCCTATAAGGTGTCGGGGGTTTACCATCTTAGTTCTGGAGCGTTCCCTCCTATAAGGTGTCGGGGGTTTACCATCTTAGTTCTGGAGCGTTCCCTCCTATAAGGTGTCGGGGGTTTACCATCTTAGTTCTGGAGCGTTCCCTCCTATAAGGTGTCGGGGGTTTACCATCTTAGTTCTGGAGCGTTCCCTCCTATAAGGTGTCAGGGGGTTTACCATCTTAGTTCTGGAGCGTTCCCTCCTATAAGGTGTCAGGGGGTTTACCATCTTAGTTCTGGAGCGTTCCCTCCTATAAGGTGTCAGGGGGTTTACCATCTTAGTTCTGGAGCGTTCCCTCCTATAAGGTGTCGGGGGTTTACCATCTTAGTTCTGGAGCGTTCCCTCCTATAAGGTGTCAGGGGTTTACCACTCGTCCGTTTCACAAGGTGGTGACAGCAGCGGGATGTCTTCAGCTCACTGCTGACACCTTCTCTTCTTCTCTCCCCCTCTTCCTTTCTTTCCTTCATTCTCGTTTCTCTCTCTCCATTCCCTCTGACACTAGCTATGGTTTCTCTCTCTCCATTCCCTCTGACACTAGCTATGGTGTCTCTCTCTCCATTCCCTCTTGGGTTTCTCTCTCCATTCCTTCTGACATTCCCTGGCTGTGAGGCTGATTTTGAGACACAGTACTCTCAAGTTGTCTGACTGAGATATTCTGTGTTGATGGGTTCTTTGGTGTTGGGTTGTCTAATGTCAGCGTCACAGAGAGGTGTGCATGTTAACCTTTATGCTAATGTCGGAAATGACAATCACTTTCTCTAATTGGTTAAGAATGGTTAACTTAGGAGATAAAAATGACAGATGTCAGAAAGGAAAACGCCGCACACTGCGCCCATGTGATTTGATTTATAACAACGTTTCGACCCTTAGGTCTATATCAGGCATCTGAGTCACGTTGTGCCCTCTTGTTGGTTTTCTATGCTGTGTGTGGTGTATCGTGGCCTCTCTCTCTCTCACACATAGTCTCAGGTTGCCTATAATACACTCCAGTACATTTGCTGCACCAGCATATTTTGCCGGCTAGTGCACCAGTGTGTGTGTGATGTAAGGGATGCCTGTGCTCTGTTTAGAGGAGAACACTGTTACCGGACGCTGACCACCAGTCTGTCGGCAATATAGATAAATGCAGTCATTGAGGGTGTGTGGTGATTTTATATGATACTGTATTCTGTGCTTAGGTAATCGTAGAGCATGTGATGTATTCTGTAGCTTGCTGTCCATACACCTGCTATGTTTGTAAGGAACATGTTTGTGTTCTGTGTGCCACATAGAGCTTGGTTAGGTTAGTTAGTTTATCTATAGTACTGTTTTAGTGCTTCAGGATGAGAGGGTTGGCCCAAATGCTGCTGATCATGAGCTGTGACCATTCTTGTGGAGGAGGAGGATGAAGGAGTGAGGGAGGAATGGGAGGAGGAGGAGGAAGAACACAATAAATTGTCCTGGAGATAGCCTTTCTATTGTCTCGGGGGAGGAGGGGGAGGAGACTATGCAGCTGCAGTATCACAGCGTTTCTGTGTGAGAGACATAGAGGCCATGTCCACCTGGGTGTCAGCGTCTGAGGCCGTGTCCACCTGGGTGTCAGCGTCTGAGGCCGTGTCCACCTGGGTGTCAGTATCTGAGGCCATGTCCACCTGGGTGTCAGCGTCTGAGGCCGTGTCCACCTGGGTGTCAGCGTCTGAGGCCGTGTCCACCTGGGTGTCAGCGTCTGAGGCCGTGTCCACCTGGGTGTCAGCGTCTGAGGCCATGTCCACCTGGGTGTCAGCGTCTGAGGCCGTGTCCACCTGGGTGTCAGCGTCTGAGGCCGTGTCCACCTGGGTGTCAGTGTCTGAGGCCGTGTCCACCTGGGTGTCAGCGTCTGAGGCCGTGTCCACCTGGGTGTCAGCGTCTGAGGCCGTGTCCACCTGGGTGTCACAGTGTCTGAGGGCCGTGTCCACCTGGGTGTCAGCGTCTGAGGCCGTGTCCACCTGGGTGTCAGCGTCTGAGGGCCGTGTCCACCTGGGTGTCAGCGTCTGAGGGCGTGTCCACCTGGGTGTCAGCGTCTGAGGCCGTGTCCACCTGGGTGTCAGCGTCTGAGGCCGTGTCCACCTGGGTGTCAGCGTCTGAGGCCGTGTCCACCTGGGTGTCAGCGTCTGAGGCCGTGTCCACCTGGGTGTCAGCGTCTGAGGCCGTGTCCACCTGGGTGTCAGCGTCTGAGGCCGTGTCCACCTGGGTGTCAGCGTCTGAGGCCGTGTCCACCTGGGTGTCAGCGTCTGAGGCCGTGTCCACCTGGGTGTCAGCGTCTGAGGCCGTGTCCACCTGGGTGTCAGCGTCTGAGGCCGTGTCCACCTGGGTGTCAGCGTCTGAGGCCGTGTCCACCTGGGTGTCACAGTGTCTGAGGCCGTGTCCACCTGGGTGTCAGCGTCTGAGGCCATGTCCACCTGGGTGTCACAGTGTCTGAGGCCGTGTCCACCTGGGTGTCAGCGTCTGAGGCCGTGTCCACCTGGGTGTCAGCGTCTGAGGCCGTGTCCACCTGGGTGTCACAGTGTCTGAGGCCGTGTCCACCTGGGTGTCACAGTGTCTGAGAGCGTGTCCACCTGGGTGTCAGTGTCTGAGGGCGTGTCCCTCTGCCCAGGTGTTGCTGACGCATGCCAGATCTCACAACACCTGGATAGGTATCAGCTAACCACATCATATGTTATAACAGTCAATGACGTGGCATGCAGCCATTGGTTGATGCATGCAACATCTGAGCAGGGGACCGTGACCAGGAGCTTATTCAACAAGGTGGAGTGGTTCAGTGTTGCTTGGTTGTGTTGATTGATTGGCTGAATGACTGATTGGCTGAATGATTGATTGGCTGAATGATTGATTGGTTGATTTTGACAATTAAAGATGCAGTACATAAAGCAGCTCCAGATGGCGATAACGTTTAATGTATT